CAAGGTGCAGGGAGTAGTTGTGAGTACTTCCAACCCAGAAAGTAATAAACATAAATAAGGGTTGAGAGTAAGAAATCCTGGACAGGCACAAAGTAAGCTATAATTACAGCAGCTCAATCTAAATCATATCAACTCAATAAACTAATGAATACAATTATAGAAATATCACAACAGAAAATGGCAATCAAGTATGCAATGCAACACATAAACCGGTACCTCCAGTACCCCGCTGCGGCCGTGCAGCCCGCTCCATTTATTTAACGTCGACGGCGCTCACTAGGGGTGTGCAGACTCCGGGAGGGGCCCCTTACGGCCCAAGCGCAATAATAAGCCATCTCGTGGCATCAAACAGGCCCTTGGCCTCATATCAATATCATTATAATACTGCTGCGGCGTGCAGCCCGATCCCATACTCAGTCCAAAATCACACAATAGTATAAAAATATTCAACCCAAACTTCATTTAAAAATATTAACTTAATTTCTAATTTAAGAAAATGGCTGAGATTTCAAACACAGTATTAAATACCAGGACTGAGTTTAATATTTATAAATATGGTAAGAAACCATTAAAATAATCCCTGAAGGATTCAAGTAGTTGGCACGAAGCCCAATTATGACAATTAATCCATTTTTATAAGGATATTACAAATCTACAATCAAATAGGTATCAATTTTATTAAGCGGGACGGACCGAGTCGCAATCCCTGACGGTGCTCTACCCCACGCCCGTTATCCGGCGTGCAAGTCACCTCACATAGCACTACGTTATGCAAATTCGGGGTTTCGAACCCTCAACACAGCATTTACATTTATTACTAACCTCAAGCCGGCCAAGGTCCTAGCTTGCTATGCCCTTGCCTTTCGAATTCACCTCTTCATGCGTCGAATCTGACCAAAACCACAACGAATACGTCACAATATGCTAAAGGAATATAACCCAATCGAAAAGACTCGAAAAACATCGAAAATCACGAAGTTGGCAAAACCCGAGCCCCGGGCCCACTTCTCCAAAAATTATAAATTTTACATCACCGGATTCCTTATCTCGCCACGAGTCTATACATGTATAGAACACCAAAATCGGAGTCCAAATGACCCCTCAAATTCCCATTTTTGTTCTCTTAGGTTTCAAGCCCTAAACCACCATTTTTGACCTTAATTCCTTGAGTTTTCAGTGTAATTCCATGTATTTGCATGATAAAATTGTGTTCTAAGTCCAAGAATGCTTACCTGATCGAAGTCCTTGAATTTCCTCTTCAAAATCGCTCAAGAACACCCCAAGTCCGAAGTTAAAAATATATTTTCTGTAAAATTTCGCGAAGGGAATTAACACCCCTTTCTGACCAGTTATTTCCGCATCTGCGGCTACATAGCCGCATCTGCGACTTCCGCTTTTGCGATGGGGAGCCGCTTCTGCGGACAAGACCGCTTCTGCGGTCTCGCATCTGAGATTCCTTTTACGCAGGTGCGGTTTCCTTTAGCCTTCCAAAATTCCGCATCTGCGGTCCTACTGTCGCATCCGCGACTCCGCAGATGCGGTCAGCATCTCCGCACCTGCGATGCCTGTCGCTTCTGCGGTTCTTGACTCGCTTCTGCGGTACCGCTTCTGCTGTCCCATTTCCGCAGGAGCGAAAATACCAGAAGCAGCATAGGTTCTGCAATCTCCTAAGTTCAACACTTCCCGTTAGCCATCCGAAATCACCCCGAGGCCCTCGGGACCTCAACAAAAAATACAAACATGATCCAATACCTTATTCAAACTTGCTCCAATCATTAAAACACCTCAAACAACACTAAAACCATCATTTCTCATCGAATTCAAGCCTAAGTTCTTCTAAAACTTCCGAAACACGCATTCGATCAGGAACCCAACCAAAACACCTCCGAATGACCTGAAATTTTGCACACGCATCCAACATCACCTAACAAAGCTACAGCAACTCTCGGAATCTCATTCCGACCCCCGGATCAAAATCTCACCTACCAACCGGAATTCGCCAAAATACTAACTTCGCCAATTCAAGCCTAATTCTACTCCGAACCTCCAAAAATCACTTTTGATTACACTCCTAAGTCACAAATCATCCCCCGAAGCTGACCAAATCATCGGAATTCAAATCCGAGCCCTCTAACACAAAAGTCAACATCCGGTTGACTTTTCCAACTTAAGCCTTCTTAAAAGAGACCAAGTGTCTCATTTCTTATCAAAACCATTCCAAACCCACTCTAACACATCAAATACTGATAATGAAACATGAAGAAGCATAACATGGGGGAAACGGGGCGGTAACTCACGTGACGACGGGTCGGGTCGTCACACCATACTATCTATTACAAATAAAAGTTAAAATATTGACATTTCTACAGATTCACCACCGATCACATGACTTGTTTCTCCTTCTGGGAGTGCAAAGCAATCAGCTACATCCAAATGCATGAAGTCTAAATTATCTTCAGAAATAAAATTTGCTTCAGTATTTTTCTTTGTCTTCTTTAAGGAGGCTTGATAAAGCTCAACCAGGTGCTTTGGCGTACGACAAGTACGTGACCAGTGCCCTTTTCCTCCACATCTATAGCATGTATTTTCTACATTTGGAGCTTGCACTGCTTCATGCTTTTGTTCCTTCCTTTTCCACTGCTGGTGGTGAGGAGGGTTCTTTGGTGCATTATTATTACCATGATTAAAGTTTCTTCCCCGACCACAGTCATGACCACGACTGGGGCCACGACCTCTTCCGCGCTTAGCTTGGTGGAAGTTCCTCTCATTCACTTCAGGGAATGGACAAGAACCAGTAGGTCGACTTTCATGGTTTTTCATTAATAGCTCATTATGTTGTTCGGCTACAAGAAGATGTGAGATAAATTCAGAATACTTTTTGAATCCCATCTCTCGATATTGCTGCTGCAGGAGCATATTCGAGGCATGAAAAGTGGTGAAAGTTTTCTCCAACATATCATGATCAGTAATATTGTCACCACATAATTTCAATTGAGAAATAATTCTAAACATAGCAGAATTATACTCACTGATAGATTTAAAATCTTGTAGCCTTAGATGAGTCCAATCATAACGTGCCTGTGGAAGAACGACCATCTTCAGGTGGTCAAATCTATCTTTCAAATTATTTCACAGTATGACTGGATCTTTAACAGTAAGATATTCCATTTTTAGGCCTCATCAAGGTGATGGCGTAGGAATATCATTGCTTTGGCACGACCTTGGTTTGATGCTTGATTTTTGTCCTTGATGGTGTCTGCCAGACCCATCGCATCAAGATGAACTTCAGTATCAAGCACCCAAGACATGTAGCTTTTGCCCGATATATCCAGGGCTACAAATTCAAGTTTAGAGAGATTTGACATTATTTAGAAAAAGAAAGTTCGTACCTCTGATACTTTCAAAATATTTGCTCGAGATGGCAGAGTCTCGTGCTGATAACGTGTTATGAAATATAGACTGTAAAGTAAAGACAAGTATAGAGAGAAACTGATATATTATTCGAATTCAAACTGATGTACATAATGAACTGAAATCTCTTCTATTTATAGAAGAAAGGAAGTTGTTGTGTAAGCTGCTACTGCAAGCTACTGTGTAAGTTGCTACTATACCAGATATGGATAATCTTCTACTGAGAATAATGTTTATCCATAACGGAGTACTGAAAGGATAAGCTCATTGTACCAGGTATATATAATCTTTTACTGGTGGTAATGTATATCCATAACGGAGTACTGAAAGGATAAGCTCATTGTACCCGGTATAGATAATCTTCTACTGGGGTAATGTTTATCCATAATGGAGTACTGAAAGGATAAGCTCATTGTACCTGGTATGGATAGTCTTCTATCGGGGGTAATATTTATCCATAACGGAGTATCGAAAGGATAAGCTTATTATACCCGGTATGGATAATCTTTTACCGGGTATAATGTTTATCCATAAACGGGTACCGAAGTGATAAGCTTCTCCAGGAGGCTTATTTTCAATAGAGTACTAAATAGATAAACATATTTACGGCGGAGTCTCATATGGATAAGCTTCTTCAGGAAGCTTATTTACAACGGAGTACTAAATGAACATCCATAATATAATATATTTATAACAGAAAGTGTAATTTTCACTTGACTTTTCAAGGATAATTAGATTTCGGCCAAAAGTCGTATATAACTACTTATAAAATTATGCATGTAATGCAAATCAAAATTTTTGTGAAATTTCTTATATTCTCATGCTTCAAAAACAGAATAATTTAGAAAATATCTCAATAAGTTAACATTACATCCAACAAGAATGAGATAAAATACCTTATTAACTATGGGAGTGATAAAGGAAAAAAATACAGAAATAGTCAATTTATACTCAAACTTACCAACCTCTAGCTCAAAATTAGATACTTATCAAAAGTAGCTGAAAATTAGAGATACACGGAAGGAAGGATTCTTCCATCCAAGAATCATGCTAAAGATCTTCTTTCCTTCCCTGTTTTTCAAGCGTATCAATTTCACATAAACCTACATTCTGTAAATCACGACATTCTCTCCCAAAAAATTTTCAAAATGAGCTTCAAATTTCACTAAAAAATCGATCCATTTCACAGTAGAAGCAACAATTTCCTTTCATGATTTCTCTGTAGATACAACTTCGATGAAGGAACTACGAACTACAATCAAAATCAATCAAGAAATTAGTGAGTTTTGACCTAATTTCAGCTACTTCAATGGCAAATTTACCAATTTTTATTCAGTATGGTGGTCGATGGAATGTTGACAATAGTTTTGTGGATTACAATGTCGATGCTGTAATAGTTACTCCAAATATAAGTTTTGAAGATTTTGTAGACGTGATTTCGAAACAACTTATGATAGATACTTCATCGAATGTTATTGAAATCAAATACACTGTCCAAAACGGTTCTCTACCAATAGTGATACACAATAATATGAGTGTATGTGTATATCTTCAACTGGAAAAAAAATCGAAATTTACAATGTATCCCCTTTGTATAACATCGAGTCAAAAGAATATGGATATAATCTGCTACAATTCAAATTCTGTTGTGATTTCCTCAGAGTGTGCACAAAGCTCAGTTATACATGAGAGATACAATGGCGATACAATTAACATGATTGAGTTTGGGGATGGAGAAGACTGGCAGGATATAGAATCTGATGAAAATACAATAATAAATGACCTCAACACATAGATGTAGAATAAGGTCAAATTTATAAAGACAAGGCTACGATAATCAAAGTCTTGAAGCACTTGGCAGTAAAGGAAAAATTCTGTTTAAGGTGCATAGATCAAGTGAAAGCATGTATCAGAATATTTAGTGCATAATTATGTATCTCAATGTATATCGTAGTTGATGTTAGAAGCATAATTATGCAGAAAATAAGTTGTTGCTTGTAAGTATATGGCTGTACACTTTTAAGTTGTGGTTGTCACCGTGTAGGACTGTATAGTCGTTTTATTTTTTCATCTAGTATTGTTGATGGCAGTGTGTATCACTATATATCATTCTATTTCATGCCGCTCTATTTATTGATGGACAAGTTTATATCCTTGTAGTAGGTACTGCCTAGTATGCATCAACAACAATTGCGATTGGTGTTTTAAGTCTTCGAGCCTGAAAAAAGCAAAACTTTTCAAGGTCAGAAATTTCAGCAAACTGCACTTATGTCCGCTGAAAGACAGATCTTATGCACAACGTCAAACTATTGCAAAACTCATCGGCAGTCTTCTAATAGACAAATATAAAGACCCAAAAATAATATACACTCCTAATGACATAATTGGAGACATGAACAAGTAGTATGGTCTTCAAATTACATATATGCAAGCATAGAGATCGAAGGAATATGCAGTTCAACTACTGAGAGGGAACCCAAGCGAATCATATGAAAAGCTGCCAAGCTACTTTTCTATGATGGTTCATACAAATCCTATGTTGGTGGTAAGTTTGAAAAAAATAGAGGAAGACATGTTCATGTATGCTTTCGTTGCACTATATCCGTCTATAAAAGGATGATAGTATTGCAAACCGGTTGTTGTTGTAGATGGAACCTTTCTTAAATCGACATACAGAGGAACATTATTGATAGTATCCATACAAGATCCAACATGTAAAAATAAGAATAATACACACACACACACACACACACACTCACATATGTTAAATTTATTAGGTAGTATCATACCACTCGCATATGCCTTTGTAGATTCAAAGAATAATGCTTCCTGGGAGTGACTTTTTGCGATGTTCAAGGATGTATTTGGGGAAAGGGAGGGAATGTGCATAGTCTCTGATAGGCATGAAGGCATTAAAAATGCAGCGACAACATTGTATCCACAAGTACCTCACTGTGTCTGCATATGGCATCTATGGAATAATGTAAAAAAATTTACAAGAAAAGCCATTTGCAGCTCCAAGACATATTCTTTGATATGGCCAAAGCATGTATAGTTGAGAAGTTTTATTACCACATGGCAGAGGTAGAGAGAATTGATAAAAGGGTCAAATATTACTTAATCAAAATTGCGTATAAAAGATGGCCTAGAGCACATCCACTATCAACATAACATTGACAATGACTTCAAATATTGCGGAGTCGATCGATGCAGTGCTCAAGGCTGCTAGGGAACTCTCAGTACTGCATTTGTTGGAGTACATAAGGCAATTAATCAGACGATGGAACATTATAAACCGAAAGAATGCAAAAGAGACATTTACTGATCTTGGAAAAAAAATATGATACAAAGCTGATGGATAATCTCGTTGTCACATCAAATGAAGGTATGAATAGAATCAGTAGATAATTGTGCATATAATATGTAATCATGTCTAATTCACGGATCTGTTATATCTTGAGCTCTTTATGTGATTTTGTTAAACTAGTGTCCACATGCACGGCACAAGGAGACCAAATTGATTAAAGCTAACGTTTTCTAATATTCATTGTTTGCACAAAAGCAATATTATAATGTTCAAGTAATGGAGGGTCTTATCTCTGTTACCCGAGGCTTCAGGTTTTCTGTTTCTTTTAAAAGCTAGTTGGTCTACCTCTATTCTCTGTTTCTTCTGGAGCATACGAGAAATTAGTCATTGTGTAAGGAAATTGTTCAACTTTTAGATAACTACCAGCATGTATACAAGGCTTTCAATTTAACGTAGCATCTATGCCTACCCCGCTGCTAACATATTGGTTGGTTTGACATGATATTAAGCTATTTTGAATCTTGTAGGCTCTCCAGTATATATATTTTGAGGGCATCTGCTTTGTCACCACTAATGATAGTTGATAAATTTTGTAGGTGACCCCTTCGACGAGTTACTTTATTCAGTACTTGACAAGGGTAAGCAGAGAATGGTGTTCCTAAAAGATCGAACTTGCAGCTTTAGAAGGTTTCAGTTGGATGAGCTGGCATGTGCACATGCTTGGGCAGTATTAAAATATAAATACATTGATCGCATTGGGTATTGCTCGGTGTACTACACCAGGAAGTACCTTTTGAAGACCTATGAAATTCTAATTTATCCGGTTTCTGATGAAAGCACAGGAAAATTCCTGCAGAAGTTCTAGATAAAAAAGTCTTACCACCAGATGTGACTAGATCAATAGGAAGGCCAAGAAAGGGGAGGTGCAAGCCAATATCTGAATGGGAACGAAAAAGGTCGATTTCATGTGGACAGTGTAGAGAAGAAGGTCACAACAGTGTCACGATCCAGTTTCTCCTTTCGTGAACTGTCGTGACGGCACCTAGTCTCTACGACTAGGTAAGACTAATATTGCGGAAATAAAATGAAAACACAAAGATAACAGCTAATAGATATTTTTAATAAGCAGAAACGGTGCCACTCGGCATGTACAATAATCATTTTCCCAAAACCCGGAATGTCTCAAATCACAAGCTTCTAAGAGGTTCTAACTGCTCTATACATTAATGTATGAAGAAAAAAAGGGGAAAAGTAACACAAGGGGATAGAAGGGGACTCTGAGGTCTGCGGACACGGGCAAATGTACCTTGAAGTCTCCTGAAGCAGCAACCACGCAACTAGACTCGAGGCTGATAGCTAGCACCTGGATCTGCACACGGAAAAAATATGTGTAGGAAAGGGCATAAGTACACAACAACGGTACCAATAAGTGCCATGCCTAACCTCGGTTGAGTAGTGACAAGGTCAGGTCAGGGCCCTACTGGTATAAATATAACGAAATAAGACAGAAAGAAATATTACAATAAAATAAATACGGAAATCTAACAGGAATAGATTTCAATGAAAGCCAACAACTCAGAAACACAATAATAGCAATAGGGGATCTCTCGGGATACCGTCCCGTAGTCCCAAACGTAAATATGCAGG